TTTTTTTTTTTTTTTTTTTTTTTTTTTGGTTTTTCTAGACAGGGTTTCTTTGTAGCTTTGGTGCCCATCCCGGAACTAGCTCTTGTAGACCAGGCTGGCCTCGAACTCCCAGAGATCCGCCTGCCTCTGCCTCCTGAGTGCTGGGATTAAAGGCATGCGCCACTACCGCCCGGCTTGTTGGTTTTTTTTTTTAAAAAAAACTTTTGAAAATTAGTTATCCTCGTTTTAGAGATGTATACCCATGGCACGGCAAAATAGATTTTATTTTGTTTGTGGAGAAGAAACGGAAAAGGAAATGCCCTCCCAGCTCCCCTTGAAAAGGCAAATCGAGAAGATCTGTGTGCCCTGTTTTCCTAGCACAGGGATTTTCTCTGCTGGAGTTACAGCACCCCTAGCCCAGTCACCTTCTTCATCCTCAGAGTTTCAACTGAAGCATCGCACACTGACTCCCCTGACTCCCTCTAACATAGCACACCCCTGTGCAACCCTTCTGCAATATTATGACCTCCTCAGTTAGCACGTCATGGCCTTGACCTCCTGGCCATCCTGCTTCAGTCTCCCTGCTCTGGGGTTGTAGTGGGCACCATCACACCCGGTAAATGTGTTTTCTTTTGATTTTTATAAAGAGTTTTCCAGAATCATCGATTCTGTGTGTATGGGTGTTTTGGCTGCATGCATGTCTGTGCACCACGTGTGTGCAGTGCCCGTGGAGGTCAGAAAAGAGCATCAGCTCCACCTGGACCTGGAGTTATCCTGTCAGGCGGCTCACAACCTCCTGTAACTCCAGCCCCTGCAGGACCCAACTGCCCCGCTGGCTTCTGCCGTTGCCTGCACCCGCATGCATATGCCTACATACCGTCAAAAGTCATAAAAACAAATATACAATTTAAAATTTAAAAATTAAAATTAAGAAATAAAAAGAAGCTGAAAAGAAATTATTTCCCCCCCCCCAAAAAAAAACCTAGTATAGTAGGAAAATGATTGAGATGAAACAGGACTCAAAGCTGGGGTGAAAGCCAGCACGGGGTGCTATGCTGCACCCCTGAACCGCCTGCCCTTCTCCCCACAGTGCGCCGCACCATCGTCAAGATCCCATCCACCCTGGAGGTGGAGGTGGAGGATGTCACCGCCTCCTCCCAGAACATCCACTTCATCAAGCCGCTGCTGCTAAGCGAGGTCCTGGCCCAGGGAGGCCCCTATCCTATGTCCACAGAGATCCTGGAGGTTCCTGAGGGCCCACCCATCTTCCTCAGTCCGTGGGTGGGCTCCCTACGCAAAGGCCAGAGGCTCTGCATCTATGGGCCAGCCTCACCAGCCTGGCAGGTTGTGGCCTCAAGCAAGAGCCGAAAGGTTCCCAGATACTTTATTCTCTCCGGGGCCTACCAGGGCAAGCTGAGGCGGAGGCCAAGGGAATTCCCCACGGCCTATGACATTTTGGGGGCTCTCCAGCCAGGCCGACCCCTCCGGGTGGTGGCCACAAAAGACTGTGATGGGAACGAAGAGGAGAATCCTGAATTTTCTTTCCTGGCTGTGGGCGATCGGCTGGAGGTGCTGAGGCAAGGCCAGGTCTGTGGGACCCAGGGCCAGGACATAGATGTCTTGATATGCCAGCGACTGAGTGAGGAAGTCGGGGAGGAAGAGGAGGACTTGGAGGAAGAGGAGGAGGTCGAGGACAAAGAACAGATTCTGCTGCCCCTCTACCTCTCTGGTGGCTTCGTGGAGGAGGTGAATGATGGGCGGCGCTACAGCCTAGCAGATCTCACCGCCCAGTTCTCCTTGCCCTGTGAGGTCAAGGTGGTGGCCAAGGACTCCCGGCACCCCACTGACCCTCTGGTCTCCTTCCCGGGTCTGCGGCTGGAGGAGAAGCTCACAGAACCCTATTTGGTGGTAGGCCTGGACTCCCAGCCAGAAATGTGCTTTGAAATCCCTCCCCGGTGGCTGGACCTGACCGTGGCAGAGGTTGCGGGGCAGCCAGGCCAGGTGGCTAGGCCACTCTCTGTCACTAGGGTGGAGGAACTATCAGAAGCCTTCTACTACAATCTCCGGAAGCTGCCAGCCTCGAAGAGCCAAGCTCCCCCGCCCAGGCCCCCAAAGAGCAAGGGTATAAGCGAGCGGAAGCAGAGCGTACAGAGCTGCCAGGAGATCGGCGTGAAGGTACGCCAGGAGGATGACGACGTGACGGTAAGCACAGACCCTAAGGGGGGGGGGCGAGTGGGAGGGGCCCCCCCAGAGGAGCCCCCTGTGGTGCTCACCCTGGGTCCCTTCCTTGCTTTCTGCCTGCCATGATTCTCTTTCAACTGTACTGAACTTGCAGCTCATCAAGTTCTGATCTTTGTACCAGTTATTCCCAGTCAGGCCTCATAATCCTGGAGTTGGCCTTATTATCAGTATTTTATCATTGCAAAAATGAGGATTGAGACTCTGACATGCCCCCGAGAGGTTGGACATTCTGGCCCTGAGTTCCTGGTCCTTTTCCTGTCACCTTGCGCCACTCCCAAGTGGAGAATCATCTTTTCTTTTTCCAGTAACTCTTAGGATGGCTCCTGTCCTTGCTTGTTTTCTGTGGCTGTGATCAAACATCCGAACCAAAAGTAGCTTGGAGGGGTAAGGTTTTAGTTCACAGTTTTAGGTGATAGCCTTTCACTGCAGGGACGTCACAGAGCCGGGCTTGAGACAGCTGGCCATACCATGTCCAGTCAAGAGGGAAAGAATCCGATGCATACATACGGCCTGCTCGCTTTCTTGCTGACTTTCTTTACTTTCATACAGTTTAGAGTCCAGCATAGGGAATGGTGTCACCCACAGTGGGCTCTGTCGTCTAATCCTGGTGGGTAGTCAAGAAAATCCCCCACAGAACATACCCACGGGCCAACGTGATCTAGATAATTCCTCATCAAGACTCTCTTCCCAGGTAATTCTAGGTGGTGTCAAATTAGCAGCTAAAACTAACCAGCATAGATCCTAAATCTTTCTCTGGTTGCCTGATGGTCACAGTGTTGAAACCTTCAGTGGTTCCACATGGCATCAGGGTCCTTCATGAATTGATTCCGGTCTGGAAATCAGTCTGGCTGGCCTTCCTGGGCCACTCACCCACCTCCACTTTGTACTCCCAACTTCAACCACAGAAGAAGGGCTCTGGGTTGACCATGGGTCTAGTATGGGCCACAGAGTTGAGGTGACCCAAACTAGACATATACTAGCCCCATGGCCCATCATCATTGCTCCTCCTTCAGGCTTGGGGAGAGCTGGCTCCGTTCTCTTTGTCACCTTCCTGCTGTGTCCATAGCTTGGAGACATGTCATTTTCCAGCCCACTGTACTGTAGTCTCTCTGCCTAAAGAGAGCTGGGCAGGATAAGGGGGGCAGAGAGCAGAAGTTCCGTATCTCCAAGGCTGGTAGGCACTGCTGAATGAGCCAAGGGAAATCAAAGATGGAAGAGTGGGGATGCAGGCTCACGCTGCCCCTCTGAGCATCTTTCTTAGTGGTAAACCCAAGAAGACTTCCCCCACAAGCCCTTGTGGTAACCATTTCCTGTTTGCCTGTAGCATATTTACTTGGTAGCTGACTCCACCTATTCTCACAGTACCCCTCCCCTGCACACCCCCTCAACATTCTCTTTACAGCTGAGATAACAGGCCAGCCACCCGAGCTCATAGAGCCAGGAGGATGACAGGGCTGGGTTTGAACTGGCCCTGACCGCTCTGCCTGAGTGACCTATTCAAAGCATGCTTTGTGAACTCAACAAGCATACTGTTTTGAGACCACGGGAGGCCTGAATTTATTATCATGTAGTCACGTGGCAGTGGAAGTTAAAAAGATAAGTCCTGAGGATTCTCACGAGGGGATCCTGTCCGTGAGAAGCCAGGCTCAGCAAAGCAGGGCCAGTGGCCAGAGCCCGGGGCACTGTCAGGAAGCTCCATCTCATGGGCTTGACTGCTGATTCTTGGACCCTTTCTGATTTCTAGTTTTTTGGATTGTTTTTATCTTGTTTTCCTGCTCAGTCTCAAGTTATAGGACGACGGCAATCCTACCCACAGTCTGAACCCAAGGCGAAGACCTTGGAAGACCTCCCCAAGGACCAGTCAAATCTGTACAGCAAGATTCCTATCCACAAGAAAGACCTTAAGTCCAAAACTCAAACAAAGAATTCAGGTGAGTCCTTTGGCACATCAAGCCCCTCTCCCGCCTCTGCTGGCTCTGCCAGGGGACCCTATTGTGGTCCTAGTTTGAGAGAGAGCCAAGCTTGTATAGAGTGGCTCAGGTGGGAAGGCCTCTGGTCTTTCTTCCTAGACTCCACACCCTAGCAATGAAATGAGTCCCGTCCTAGATAGTGTCCTCCTATGACAATCAAGGACAGCAAAATGACTGCAGGATTCAAGGAAAATGAACAGTGGTGTCTGGGCTGTAGAGTTAGGCCAAGCCCTTTCCTGAGGAAGCTGAAGAGGGGAAGGAACCTGCCTAAAGACAAAGATTCTGCATAACCCAGACTTTCTTTTCTTCTTCAGCACTGGGCATGAAACCCAAATCCCAGAGCATGCTTGGCAAATATCCTACCATGTCACCTCCCCTGCCTGACCCAGATATGGATGACCACGACTATGAAGAAATTTGAACCCTTTCAGAAAGTCATCGAAGTGCTGGGGCAGCCACACTTCCCAGCCGCTGCTGCACAGGAAGCTGAGATAACAGCTAACTCTTGGGAGACCCGGGGCAGTCTTCAGGGACTCAAACTCAGATGGGCATGGATTTGAAATGGGACAGAAACTATTCCCACCTTGCTGTGGAATAATCCTTCTGTACACCCTAAATATGCATTGCTCTCATTGATTAATAAAACGCTGATTAGCCAGTAGCCAGGCAGAAAGTATAGGTGGGACAACTAAACTAAGGATGATGGGAGAAGGGCAGAGTCAGGTGTCACCAGCCAGACACAGAGGGAGCAGATGAAAGTCCCATGCTAATGAAGATACTGCCATATGGCAGAGTGTAAATAAGGAATACGGGTTAACTTAAAATATAAGAGCTAATTAGTAATAAGCCTGAGCTATTGGCCAAGCATTTATAATTCATATAAGCTTCTGTGTGTTTCTTTGGGACTGGGCGGTTGGAACAGAAAACCTCCAATTACATGATCACCATTGAGTTCCAGATTCCTGCCTCTGCCTGGTCCCCAGAGGTTGCATGTGAACTTCTCAGTCTTAGAGTTTTGGTGTTCAGAGAAGCCATTTAAGTTCTGTTCACTCCTGTGCTCAACAGTTGTTCCACAACTAGGCTCAGAAGAATCAAAAGCCAGCAGCTTCAGCACTGCCTGCCTTCTGGTAAAGGGAACTCAAGTCTTCATTGTTCCACCCAGTGTTTGCCACCTCCTTTGTCTGCTGTGCCACATCTGCGTCCAGGCTCTGTGCCTGGGGACAGACAATATTCTCATGTTTGTAGATTCCAGCTCATGATCAGCACATGGTAAATGGGCTTGTTCAAATAAATGTGAGAATTTGCTTCCAAGAACAAAATCTTAGGTAGAACTTAAGTTATCAAAATCTGTTAGTGGAACTAAGAGAGCTACTTTTCAAAGATAGAGGGACCAGAGAGATGGCTCAGTGAAGTTTCTCCCAGCTACATTGTTTTTTTTTAAAATTTATTATATATACAATATTCTGCCTACATGTATCCCTGTGGGCCAGAAGAGGGCACCAGATCTCATTACAGATGGTTGTGAGCCACCATGTGGATGCTGGGAATTGAACTCAGGACCTCTGGAAGAGCAGCCAGTGCTCTTATCCTCTGAGCTATCTCTTCAGCCCCATTAACTGCACTAAGATGAAACCATTAATCCACATTAAATACTAATCCTTAAGTTGGCCTCTCTCTAGTTAAGCTTAGTAAAATATTTTTCATGACACCCCATTTCCCACCTGCAGTTCTAAAATTTTTCCTGAGAGAAGGTTGAACAACTAGGTGACACTGGTAGTTTCTAAGAGCTTGGGCCATATTGGCGTTCCAATGTACTGAATACCTTGTACTGGACTCCCGAACACAGCTCTTCTACCTATACAGCAAAGCACAACATTCAGGAGGCTGGAATTCCACAGCACTCTCCTGCCTGTGCTCTGCCTCAGACTCCCAGTGCTTAGCAATTACGTGATCACTGAGAGCCATCAATGACCAGAAGTCAGGGCAGTCCACTGCAAGCCTCCTGATGCTCATCTCTCCGACTGCTAGCACCTAACCAAGTTTGGGATCTAATAAAGACACTGATGTGTATCTGCACGCACACAAGAAATGCAGGTGCCAGAGGCACTGGATCCCCTAGAACTGGAATTAAGACAGTTGTGAGCTGCCTGACATAGGTGCTTGGAACTGAACTCAGGCCCCCATGGAAAAACAGCAGGTGCTCTTTATCCCTGAGCCTTCTCTCTCTGTCTCCCTAACCCGTCCTCTTTGAGGTCAGTTTCCACTATGTAGTCCTGGCTGCCTAGGACCTGGTATGTAGACCAAACTGGCCTCAGAACTCAAGAGACCCATCTGCCTCCTGAAACAAGCCATTCAATTGCTAAGTTGTCATTTGAATTCTATGGAAAGATCCACCCTGGTAAACAGAAATTGGAACTATGTGAAAGTATCCTAACATACACCCCCCACTGGAACATGTTTTGTTTTTTCTTGTTCCGCTTAGCTGGCCCCTACCTACAGGCGTGGCTCGCCAGAGGGAAGTGCCATCTAGCAAACAGCCAGAGGTTTACTACCAACAATCAGGGTAAGAGCTCATTTAGCAGTGCTCCACGTTATGAACTCCATCCCCAGTTAGTTCCATCCACGACATCATTTACCTTTGACCTCTGTGAGCTCAGTCTCTACTACAAGAGCTTTCGTGAAGTCTTACAGCAGCTAACTCAGTACACGACCACACTGTCAGCACCAACTTTAGGGGTCCCTTTCTTCAGTGCTGCCATGGGCTGAGCCAGCCTTGTGGAGCGCAGGCAAGTGTTCCACTGCTGTCAGCTATAACTCTAGCCCAAGGCCTATTCACAATCCTCCATGGCAAGGCCACATACTTTGCCCATCTACAAGAAACCCGAGAAAATAAGCCTGGCGATCTGTGTTGGATCCCTGATACACAGCAGAAGATGACTGACTCTGTACACTGTAGGAAGAGAAAACAAACTCCAGCAAGTTGTCCTGGCTTCCACAGTAAGTCAATGTGAAAAACCAGCAACATCTCAAAAGCTATTACAATCAAACTGTTTTATTAAACATATGGACATTTATAATACAAACAATGCAGTGACACCTCTTCCTCTCTGCCCTCTGGTGAGGCCGCCTCGCTAAAACCTCATGCTCACTTAAACCTACTTTCAGCTGTGGGCAAGACAAGGGGAAGGAAAGTGCAATTTTGAAAGTAACACGATAGACTCAAAGCAGGAAGCAAAAATAGGCAGAAGGTAGTGGGTTCTTTTTATAGCCTTTGGCCCTAGCATCATTCATCACCTCAACAGGAAGCCTTTCAAGAACAGAAGCTCCCAAGCATGATGTAGTTCTGCCCAGCTCTCTGGGTTGTGTTTCTCTTTCAATCCCACCCATCCAGCCTGGAGTCCTGATTAGTTTACCTGGAATTTCTGTTAAGAAATCCCACCCTGGTTTACTTCCTTCTCAACTGTCTATCTCCTTTTGAACCTCTAAACATCAAACAACAAAACAGAACAGCAGTAAGTTTCACAAGGACATCAGATGAGAGCTTCTCTATGAAACTTCTGTCCTAGAAGCCACTGGCCAAAACTGCAGAGCTGGAGACAACAGATGATAGAAAAACAGGTCCAGCTGGAAATAGTTCAGGTATCCAATGAGCTCCAGTTACTCTGCGTCTGTAGATTTAAAGTGATCATCATCCACAGTAGAATAAATGTGCCCCTCGTTGCATAGAAAATCCACTGCTTGCCTAGAAGGAAAAAAAAGGAGAGCCCCCACATTAAAACCAACGCCTTTTGAATACAGCTAAACAAGCAAACTGTAGAGGCATCTCATTTGTATTTTAATAAATAAAGCTTGCCTGAGGATCAGAAAAGTAAAACAGCCACACTGGCCAGGCAATGACACACACCCTTAATCCCAGCAGTCACACTAGCTTGCTGTAAAAAACCAGCAGTAGTGGTACATGCTCTTAATCCTAGCTCTAGAGAATCTCAGTTTGAGATTCCTGGAGGCAAGATCGCCATCTTCCGACTGACATTGAGGTTAAGAGGCAGTGGCTGGTTGTTTTGCTTTTCTGGTCTTCATGTTGAACCCCAATATCTGTCTCTTGAGTTTTTATTACTCATGCTTCAGAAAACATCACTTGTTTTTGCATTTATTATCTTAATTAAGAATTATTAATTTTGTTCATGGAAGTCTTTTACAGAGAAGTCAATTAAACCCCAGGACTGAGATTATCCATGCAGACAAGGGCTACCAGGGCTGCCTCAGATCCTGGTCTCAAGTTTTTAGCCCACACAAGAACCCGAAGCCATATTCAGCCTGCACATGAAATCCCTACTGTACACAGGGTCTTAAGGCTCCCTTCCCTGGATTCAGACCCCAGAACCCCACACTGAAATGCTGTTTGCTCTGCCTGTGAGCAGCAGCAGCAAAGCAGAAAAGGAAGAGTACTCAGAAGAGTGTGAGTCCCCCAAATCCTCAGGTCCTCACAGACAGTAACACTCAGTGATCCTGGACCCCCTCACCAGTGCTGAGACGGGCACTATCTATCACTTTACAGCACAGGGATGGGAAACTGACCTGGGCATTTCTTTTCTATCCAGACCTACCACCACACATCACCCCCAAGACAGGGTTTCTCTGTGTAATAAACATTTCTGGCTGTCCTGGAATTTGGTCTGTAGATCAGGTTAGCCTCAAACTCACAGAGATCCACTTTCCCATGCCTCCTGAGTGCTGAGATTAAAGGCAAGTACCAGCAAAGCCTACAATTATTAAATGGGCTTTTGTTTTGTTTTGAGACAGGGCCTCTTTAAGCAATCATGGTTGTCCTGGAACTTGCTATATAGACCAGGCTGGCCTTGAACTCAAGACACAAGAGTACCATCTACTTAGTCCATCTAGTTCACTGCAATAGAATCAGGCATCTGGTGCCTGCATAGAAATCAGGGCAAAGGTGTAAGGATTACCCAATGCCTTCCAATCAGAACAAATCAGCAGGCAGTGAACAGCGCCACCTGCGAGTCCTTCTGAAATCTCTGCACAGCTGGTCAACTTCCCTCAACAGGCTGCAGCTGACAACTTTCCTTTTCTTTTGCTGTGTGTCTCACAGAGTCCAGGTTGGCTCTGAACTCTTGATCCTCCCGCTTCTACCCTTCAAGTGCAGAGATCACAGGTGAGCACCACCAATCATCTTTTACACAGACTTCTCATTATCAGGGAACTATGAACAGAGATAGCTACAACTTTGGACCTCTAGGTCATAGACAACAATACTTACTTGAATGAGGCTACAGGCATGTGCTGGAGCTGATTTCTGAGATCCTGGAAATTCAATCCTTCTGGTCTTGGGCAAGCCTTGATCAAATTCAGTACCTAACAGTTCAAATAAAGACTATAGCAACTGCTCTGGATCAGTTTATTCAAGTTAACCCGAGTCCCTAGAGAAGCAAAAGGAGGGGCTAAAGGGATGGCGCAGGAGGAGCACTTGCAGAGAACCTGGGTTTGAAGCCTCCACTAGTATCAGGCCATGTGGACAAACACACGCTCACACACAAGCATTAAGAGGGGATGGTATGAAATAGGCACCAAGATAACTTAGATCCTTTAGGAAGTAACAAAATAGAGGTCTGTGTTTTACATGAGAAACAGGCATCTTACCTG